AAAGAAGGGTTACTTGATTGAGACTGAGAAGACTGGAATGTTAGTTGCAGTGTTACACAAACCATCACTTTGACCTCAGGAAAGCCATATTCTGTTAGCCTAAATTCCTTATCAACGGTTAAACATTGATTGAAAGCATACTCCGTGCCAGGTAGTAGGATAAATTGCTTGGGCCATCCATTAGGTCATTTGCAAACAATGTAATGTGACAGGCATAATAAAGGGACATGTGAAAAAGAACTCCAGGAGCCCTGATGAGGAAGGCCTGACTCACCCTCCATGGTCCCTGAAAGGGGCAGTATTTTCCTACACGCAAAAGACCCCAAGGTCTTGAACCAGGCTACTTGGGTTTCACTCTAGCTCAACTTACCAGGGTTAGGCAATCTATCTGTGCTTTGGTTTCCTTACCTATAAAATGGAAATAATAGTTATACTTATCTCATAGGGTATTATGAAGATTACATTAATGTATAAATACGAACTGCAGAGTGATTGGTACTCAGTAACCACTTAAGAACGTATTTAATGTTATTGTTTTTGTTATTAGTAGTGACATATAATCTTCAAATTTCCTCATAAATCCAAACCCCTATAATCTCTCCTAGTGCAGAAGCAAGGAGTCTGAAGTCCTCTCTTTGAAAAAAATATAAGCATGTATCTTTGGAAAACATGAAATCCTTCCAGGGTCACAAGTGACAAAGAATAAGTTGAGTCTGGACTATCTGGTACCAGAGAGTAAGAAAACACTCAGTTACGGCGATGTGCCAAGGGACACAGAAGTCAGCTTGAAGCGGCTCCCACTGGCCAAATCTGGGGGGATGAGCATCAAAATAAGTAATGATAGTAACAGATTATGACCCATTAAATAAACTAGGAGTCTGTGAGTGCACATTTATATTACTAAATAGTTAAATGAGGAGAAGAAAAACTTTTCCTTTCAGTAGAATGTTAACTAACGCAAAAGAAATGATAGAAGTAGAAAAACATGAATGTGACAAGTCAATATCACGTGCCATACATAGGCTGCAATAAGAACACAGCACCACTTTGGTGATGTTCCGGAGTACACCTTATAACCTCAGTGTAAGGATACATCAAACCCAAACAGAGGTACCTTCTATACAGTGACTATCAAATAAACTCAAAGCTGTCAAGGTCATTGTTTCAAATTGAAGGAGATTAGAGAAACATGACAACTGGGTGAAAAGCAGTAGCCTCTCTTGGATCCTTTTATAAAACGGGTCTGACAAAGAGTGTATAAGCGTTCTTTGTATTATCCTTGCAAATTTTCTGTAAGTTTGAAATTGTTTCAAAACAAAAGAAAAAAAGTACAGCTATCAGGAATACTATGTAGCTATAAAAAATAATGTTGTTGACACTAAAAGCATAAGCAACAACCATAACAAAAATAGATAAATTGGACTTTGTCAAAATTCAAAACTTTTATACTTCATAGTGAGGACACTATCAAGAAAAAGACAACTCACAGAATGGGAGAAGATATTCGCGAATCATGTATCTGACAACGGATTCGTATCCAGAATATATAAAGGACTCTTACACTCCACACACACAGAAACACACACACACACACACACACACACAAAGAAAAACAACCCAATTAAAACATGGGCAAAGGTCAAAAAAAAGGAGAAATATTTTGGCATAAATTTAATAAAATATGTACATAATCTATGTGAGGAAAACTATAAAGCTCTGGTGAAAGAAATCAGAAAAACTAGATAAATGGAGAGGTATGCCATGTCTGTGGATAATAAGACTAAGTGTGGAAAGATGTCAGTTCTTCCCAACTTGATCTTTAGATTCAGTGAAATCCCAATCAAAATCCCAGCAAGTTATTTTGTGATATTGACAAACTGATTCTAAAGTTTATATGAAGCGGCAAAAAGACCAGAATAGCCAACACAATTTTAAAGGAGAAAAACAAAATCAGAGGATTGACACTACCTGATTTCAAGACTTACTGTAAAGCTACAGTAATCAAGGCAGCGTGATATTGGTGAACGAATAGATAAATAGATCAATGGAATAGAATAGATGGTCCAGAAATAGACCCAGATAAACATGTATAGTCAACTGATCTTTGACAAAGGAGCAAAAGCAAAACAATGGAGAAAAGATTGTCTTTTCAACGAATGGTGCTGGAACAACTGGATATCCACATGCAAAAAATAAAAAATAAATAGAATAATCTAGATACTGAACTTATACACGTTACGAAAATTAACTCAAAATAGACCATAGACCTAAACATAAAATGCAAAACTATAAAATTCCTAGGAGATAATATAGAAGAAAACCTAGATGACTTTTGGTGTGATGAAGGCTCTTTAGATAAAACACCAAAGGCACAATCCATGAAATAAATCCATAAGCTGGACTTCACTAAAATTAAAAACTTTTGCTGAGCAAAAGACACTCTCAAGGGGATGAGAAGACAAGCCACAGAGTTGGAGAAATTATTTACAAAATACATATCTGATATAGGACTGTTGATCAAAATATAAAAGAACTCTTAAAACAGAAAGGAACAATAAGAACAATAAGAAAACAAACAACCCAGTTAGGAAACGGGTCAAAAATCTGAACAGACACCTCACCAGAGAAGATCTATGGATGGCAAATAAGCATATGAAAAAATGTTCCACATCTTATGTCATTAGGAAACTGTAAATAAAAGCAATAATGAGATACCACTACATGCCTATTAGAATGGCAAAATTCCAAAATACTTACAATCCCAAACGCTGGTGAGGATGTGAAGCAACAGGAAATCTCATTCATTGCTGGCAGGGATGCAAACTGGTATAGCCACTTTGGAAGACAGTATTTGGTGGTTTCTTACAAAACATATTCTTATGATATGATCCAGCAATCACGCTCCTCAGTATTTACCCAAGTGAGTTGAAACTTACGTTCACACAGAACACATGGAGGAAACTTAGTTGCATATTGCTAAAGGAAAGAAGCCAATCTGAAAATTCTATACAGTACGCTGTATGATTCGTACCATATGACATTCTGAAAAAGGCAAAACTATGGAGACGGTTAAAAATGTCAGTGGTTGCCAAGGGTTAGCGGGGAGGTAAGGATGAATAGGAGGGGCAGGGAGGATATTTGAGGCAGTGAGACTATAAGAGACTATAATGGTGGATATGTCATTATATATTTGTCAAAACTCAAAGACTGTACAACACCTAAAAGTGACCCCTAGTGTAAACTCTGAACTTTGGTTGATAATTATGTATCAATGTCAGTTCATCTTTTGTAACAAATGCACCACTCTGGTGGGGGATGTTGATGATGGGAGAGGCTGTGCATGTGTGGGGCAGGGGGTATATGAGAAATCTCTGTACCTTCCACTCAATGTTGCTGTGAACCTTAAACTTAAAAAAAAAAAGTCTATTAAGAAAATAAGAAAACCTGTATCTGAGTGGTAAGAAAATGACCATGTTCACTTTTGTGACAGCTAACATATATTGAGTGCTACTGTGTGCCAGGCATTGGGCTAAGTGCTTTACATGTATTCTTCATTGAATTCTCACATTAAATCTTGTTTTTCCAACTTTGCAAAATTTCTACAATAAATGTATTATTTCTGTACCCAGAAAATTTTATTTGTAAACATATATGTACATAATAGATCCTATTAAGGTGAAGGTCTTCAGGTTGGTGAAGATTCTAGGAACTACTCACTGTGAAATTTTGTTCAAAGGATTGAGGATATTTTACTTGGCTTAGAGTGAGTGATGATGGCTATCTTCACATATTTGAAAGACAGTCAGTTGGAAAAGGAATTGGACACTATCTTCATCGCTTCAAAAAGTGAACTAGAGTGAAAATCCTAGGAAAGTAATTTTGGGCTTAACATAAGGATGCTCTTCCAAACTATTTTGTCCAAAAAAGTAGTTCATCTAATCAGTGAATATATATGGATTTGTGCATCTAGAAGTTTGGAAGAGTAGGAGTCCGAGGTCATTTTCAACTCTGAAATTCTGTCTTTATTTATATTTAATGCAGATTAATCAGAGAGAAGAGCCAAGGTCTACCTTTTCTGTTTTGTTTTGTTTTTCAAAGAGGATGCAATTCTGTGTCAGCCTTGGAAAAAACAACGTGGTGCCTGGGCGAGCAAAGAATAATTGTGAAACTTACAAGTTGCTTCGATGCAATTTTAACATTGGTTATCAGGAAACAAAAGGGCATAAAAAGCACAAGGAAAAAGGCCTATTTATGTAGCATTTAGAAAGATGACAGAACGCAAAGCTGATTTATATCTTATTCATTCCCTCCCTCAGGTTGGTGCACACACCAACCCCCCCTCCCCCACTCTCACCGCGCCGCCCTTCTTCCTTCAGTTTTTCCCACTTCCCTTATTCTATATTTTTTTACACTGTCGGCATTCTCTTGCCATGAGACTCAACTCTATCAGTACGGGTGGCACCCATAAGCCACGGCTCTGAACTGCTTTATTTTGTAAAGCAGAGACCTCTACCGGGGTTAAGTTTGTTGAGCAACAGATCTACCCAAGATCCTGTTTCACATTCAACCTTTTACTGTACGATACCGTAGGATGCCACCCACTCCTGTGTCACAGGCTCTCACACAATAGGAGTCCTTGAAGCCCTCAGTCCCCAGGTCTGGTAGCTGGCAAACCTGGCAAAGCCACGGCCCGCGCAGGGCACCTTCCCCCGCGAGGGCGGGGCGGGGCCGGGGAGGCAGCCACCGGGTGCCTGCGCCCACCCGGCGCAGCGCCCCAGGGCCCTCCCTCGAGGGGCTTCTCGACCTTTCCTCAGTTAGCCGGAGTAGGGGGACTCCATCAACTCAGTATTCCCCACCCACAGTTGGCTTCTCTATCAGTTTCTTCCCGGCTGTCGCTGCCCAGCCACCCTTAGCTTCAGCATCAGCCCCCTGCCCACTCCGATCCCCAAGGAAGCCACCACCCCGGCCGTGACCCCGAGGAGCCCCTCCCCCCGGGACTCCTACGGACCGTCTCCTGAACTTGGTCCCCAGAGGGTCTTCACCCCCTCCTGGGCACCGGGGCGGAGGGCAGGGGGAGTGCCCGGGAAGGGGAGTGCGTGGGGGACCGGGAAGTGCGCGGGGTCAGGCGGGAGGGCAGGAGAGGAGGCCAGACAGGGGCTCTCAGTTTCCCGGGGTCTGATTGGAGGTTGGCGCGATGAGTCGGAGCTGGGGGCGCGCCCATCTCCGCTGGCTCCTGCCAGAGCCGCCGGCTCGGCCCCTCCCCGGAGCCGCTTTGTCCCGGGCGACGGCCGCTGAGGTTGCGGCGAGGAGCGGGCGGGAGGCAGAGACCCGCGGACACACGGAGCCGGAGCCGGAGCCCGGGAGGCGGGGCGCGCCGCGCACGGCCCCACGCCCAGGCCCGCGGGCACCGCGCCCGTCCCCGCGCGCTCTCGGCCCTGCCGCCAGGTGAGCAGCCGCGCCACGCCAGCAGTCGCCGGCTCCGCCGACCGGCAGACCGCCCAGCAGTCGCCTCCGCCTCCACCGACGCATCGCGGACGACCAGCAGGTCGGTTATGTAACGGCGCCGGCCCGCTCGCCCCGGCACCCTGTCCTGTCCTGTCCTGTCCTGCCGGGGCTGCGCGCGGCGCCCGGGCCGGGCCGGGGGACCGCGGCGGGGGGCGGCCGAGAGCGGGCGGGGTATGGGGCTGGGCCGGGGGCGGTGGCCGTGGCGGCGGGTGGTCTCCAGTTCCAGTTCTCAGCTCCCGCGGCGGCCGTGAGGACCGAGGTCCCTTGACCCCCTCTAGAGGGCGCGGGTCTCAAGGATCCCCTTCCCCAGTCCTAGTGGCCCAGGGGTTCGTCTTTCTAGTAGCAGCAGCAGGTGCATAAGTGGAGGAGCGGGAATGACGCCTATGGTCCCCGGGAATGAGATTTGGAGAGGGGATTAGGGGAGGTGGTCTGAACGCAGAGAGCAAACGGGAAATCGGAGCCTCTTTTCCCAGTGCCTTAAGGAAAGTGCTGGGGAGGGGAAGGTGCTTTGAGACGCAGAGGGCTGGGAATTGTCCTGCCTGGGATTAGCGGGCTTGGGTCATCTAAAAATAACTTCAAGTTTGAAAAGTGAAATAGAAGGGAGCGCAGTGTGCCGAGTTCCTCCTGCCTGTGGGATGCTTCTCTCTAGAAGTCACTAGAGGGAACAGGAAAATCCCAGCTGCCTGATCCCTCGGCTGCCTCCTGGTTTCACTGGTTTCCAGGGTGTCTCCGTTTGACTTTAGTTAATGATTTATTCTCCAAGGCACTGCTGTCTTTGTCTTATCCCAAAATGAATTATAGCAGAGTGCATGCTTTGAATCTTTCCTATTTAGTACATTAGGATAGAAGTGTTCAGTGGACATCTAATGAGTCTGCTGCCTACACTTTTTTTTTTTTTTTAAGTATCCTCTCAGTATAAACAAAAGTTTCTGAGCTCCCTTTAACATATATCCCACAACTGGAGATGAAAGATGCTAGAGCATTCCAGTCCACCCTTCTCTCTTCCCTAAGCCAGAATCCCACTTGTCATACGGAGGGGAGGCTTTAGGAAAAGTAGGACATTTTAAATAATGCAGCTCAACTTTCACACATATTATTACATCAACACAAAACACAGGCAAATGTATCACAGGCACAGGGCAACACTTGCTAACTGACCCCCTCCATTCCAGGAACACAATGAAGTAAAAAATAGAACCACCATACGACCCAGCAATCCCACTACTGGGCATATACCCTGAGAAAACCATAATTCAAAAAGAGTCATGTACCAGTATGTTCATTGCAGCTCTATTTACAATAGCCAGGACATGGAAGCAACCTAAGTGTCCATCAACAGATGAATGGATAAAGAAGATGTGGCACATATTTACAATGGAATATTACTCAGCCAGAAAAAGAAACGAAATTGAGTTATTTGTAGTGAGGTGGATGGACCTAGAGTCTGTCAGAAGTAAGTCAGAAAGAGAAAAACAAATACCGTATGCTAACACATATATATGGACTCTAATAAAAAAATAAAAAGGTCATGAAGAACCTAGGGGTAAGATGGGAATAAAGACACAGACCTACTAGAGAATGGACTTGAGGATATGGGGAGGGGGAAGGGTAAGCTGTGACAAAGTGAGAGAGTTGCATGGACATATATACACTACCAAACGTAAAATAGATAGAAGTGGGAAGCAGCCGCATAGCACAGGGAGATCAGCTCGGTGCTTTGTGACCACCTAGAGGGGTGGGATAGGGAGGGTGGGAGGGAGGGAGACGCAAGAGAGAAGAGATATGGGAACATATGTATATGTATAACTGATAAGCAGAAACTAACACACCATTGTAAAGCAATTATACTCCAATAAAGATGTTAAAAGAAAAGAAAAGAAAAGAAAAGCCTAGAAGCTAGAAAGGATCAAGAAGCAGATAAGCATCGACTGTGGAACAAGGTAGGGGAGTGAACATTTGGCTGCTTTGCAGTCTCCCATTGATTTCCTTTAGCCTTAGAACTATTTTCTTAAGTACAATCAGTCACTGCCTTGAGTTAGTCTAAAATGTGAGTTGCTCTTTGCTTTCAAATCCACTGCAAATCGAATCAGCATTTACTGAGCACCTACTACTTGAGTCCAGTCCGTAGAATTTTATGAGGGAATGTGTCCTCAACTAAAGCTACAGGATCCCAAGAGCTTTCCAAATGCCTTGTTTGCAGCTCCTGCAGAACCCAACGAAATTAGGGAGGATGTGGCTCTCTCTCTCTCTCTAGTGATGAACAGTTAACAGGCATAAGTGGGAACTTGAGAGCTTTGTCATTTGCAAGTACGCATCACACTCTTTTTTTTTTTTTCCATACGTGGGCCTCTCACTGTTGCGGCCCCTCCCGCTGCGGAGCACAGGCCCCGGACGCGGAGGCTCGGCGGCCATGGCTCACGGGCCCAGCCGCTCCGCGGCACGTGGGATCCTCCCGGACGGGTGCACGAACCCGTGTCCCCTGCATCGGCAGGCGGACTCTCAACCACTGCGCCACCAGGGAAGCCCCACACTCTTTTAAAAACTACTTGCATAATCGTTTGCAGTTAGTCATGTATGTTATAGAAATTAGCTTTATTGAGATCAACTTTGTCACTGAGGTCTCATTTTCCCATTCCTTTTATTTTCTGTACCATCCACTCAGTTTACTCAGCAGTTAATTTGTTAAGTACCTACTGTGTGCTATGTAGTCCCTGTGCCAGAGGCTACAAGAATGAGGCCGATGTTGTTCAGAAATCAATCTAGCAGAAAAGGATAAGAAGATTAAGTGATAATGATCAGCATGGTGAGTGTTTAGTGCAGATAGGAACAAGCTCAGTGGGAGCCCAGGGAAGGAAGGGTTCAGGGAATCTGGAGGAGCTTGCAGAGAAGTTCATGTTCAGACTGCATCTCTGTAGAGAAGGAGCTAGGTGTTCCACGTTGAAGGAAAGGTCACGTTCAAAGAACTTGTAGGTGTTCTGCAGTGAGGAGGTGGCAGGAGAGTTTGGGAGGAGGTGTTTCAGTGAGCCTGGGCTATGAATATACCTTGCAGAGGAGGAAAAGCCATGCAGCCTGTACGGGGGAAATGATTTGATCTAATTCATCTCGCAAAAGTTACTTTGGAGGCGCTGAGTAGGTGAGGTTGCAAAGAGAAACGAGCTCAGATTTTAGACCACTAAAGCGGTCTGGACCAAAAAAAAAAAAAAAAAAAAAGTAAGTAAAATTAATTGTGCCTGAACCAGGTAGAATGGGGAAAGAGAAGAGAGATCTACAGAAAACCATCTCAGAGAGAGAATCAGTGGCTCTAGGTCACCAAGTGGCTGGTAGTGTGGAAGGAGAAGCTTAAGATGTTTACATGGATGGTCAGGCTTTGTACTGAGATAGGAAGTCACGGAACAGCTAACATCATACTCAAAGGTGAAAAGCTGAAAGCCTTCCCTCTAAATTCAGGGACAAGAGAGGAATGCCCACTCTTGCCACTTCTCTTTAGTATAGTACTGGAAGTCCTAGCTATAGCATTTAGGCGAGAAAAAAAGGCATTCAAATCAGGAAGGAAGAATTAAAACGATCTCTATTTGCAAATGACATGATATTATACATAGAAAACCCTAAAGACTCTACTAAAAGACCATTAGGACCAATAAACAAATTCAGTAAAATTGCAGGACATAAAATCAATGCACAGACATCAGTTGCATTTCTATACACTAAAATAGCAAACTATCAGAAAGAGAAATTAAGAAAGCAATCCCATTTGTAACTGCATCCTAAAGAATAAAATACCTAGGAATAAATTTAATCAAGGGGGTGAAAGACTTGTTCCCTGAAAACTATGACAGTAACGAAAGAAACTGAAGACACAAATAAGTGTTGGTGAGAATGTGGAGAAAAGGGAACCCTCCTACACTGTTGGTGGGAATGTAAACTGGTGCAGCCACTATGGAAAACGGTATGGAGGTTCCTCAGAAGATTAAAAATAGAACTACCGCATGATCCAGCAATCCCACTTTTGGGTATTCATCCAAAGAAAATGAAAATAACGAACTTGAAAAGATATCTGCACCTCCATGTTCATTACAGCATTTTTTATACGAGCCATGATATGGAAACAGCTTAAATGGCCATTGATGGATGAGTGGATAAGGAAAATCTGGTATATATGTATATACAATGGAATATTATTCAGCCATAAAAAGGAGACCCTGCCATTTGCAACAACATGGGTGGACCTTGATGGCATTGTGCTAAGTGAATAAGTCAGAGAAATATAAGTACTGTGTGATCTCACTTATATGTAGAGTCTAAAAAAACCAAACTCATAAATCCAGAGAATAGATTGTTGTTGCCAGAGGTGAGGGGTGGAGGATGGGCAAAATGGGTGAAGGTGGTCAAAAGGTACAAACTTCCAGTTATAAGATACATATGTTCTGGGGGTATAATGTACAGCATGGTGACCATAGTTAGCAGTACTGTGTTGTATATTTGAAAGTTGCTAAGAGAGTAGATCTTAAAAGTTCTCATTATAAGGAAAAAAATTTGTAACCATGTAAGATGGTAGATGTCAACTAAACTTAGTATGATGATCATTTCACAATATATACATACACCTAAAACTAATACGGTGTTTTATGTTAATTATATCTCAGCCAAACGGGGGGGATGGGGGGGAAGGAAGTGCGGTTGATCCTTGAACAACACAGGTTTGAACTGTGATTAGAGATCACAATGTATGGAATCAAAAGACCTGGGGTTTGAGTCCTGATTCTCTCCAAACTGTTTCAGCTTCCTGCCCTTGGGTGAGTCATTTGCCAGTTCCTTTGTTTTCGAGGCAGGGATATCAAGGCTCAGATTTTCCTCTCGGAAGGGGGTATGTGTAGCGCCCTTAACCCCCGAGTTGTACAAGGGTCAACTATAAAATGAGAAAGAGTTGTTTTGAGAAAGGTGGGGAATTTTGACTTTGAACATCCAAATAAAAATACTCTGTAGGCACTTTTATTTTCAAAGGGAATTTCTTCGTTCCTGGTGCTAACTTCCGTTCATCTGACTCACCTTCATGTCTGAGACTGTCTAGCGCCGCCCTTAAAGGAGATGATTTGACAGCAGGAGGTTGTTGCTGCCTTCTTCCCCCAGAGTGAAAGTATTAACTGCCAATTATCTGAACTAGTAGTAGTAATAATGGTAATAATTCAAACGATAACAACAATATGTAACATTTATTCCGTGCTTACTTTACGCCAAGCATGAAGAAGGTGGAGCTCTACACAGATTATCACGTTT